TTCCCTTGTTATATTTCATTAAATTCTTCCAATTGTCCAACAGAAGTTACACAGTTATTCACACTGCAAGAATCTGAAATGAAACTTAACACTCCAGGCAAGCAGGACCACACCACAAGAGGGACTGCAATATTCTTGTTAATTAAATCATAGGCTAATGCACTGTACTTAGAAAACAGGAGAAACCCATAGACATCTTCCAAGTAATTAAAACACCAAATTTCTGAATAGGAAATGAAATTGAATTTTAGCTGTCCTGACACCAGAGGGAATACTGCCATTTATTTAGTCTAGACAGATCTCTCATAGCATTTGATAAGCACTACATCCTAAATGAAGTTTTTCTTCTCATTCTGGGGGATTATAGTTATTTGTGGTTTCCTGAATTATGATCAGCTACTTTTTTAGATTGAAATAAATACTCTGCATGGGAAAAACAGTTACGTACTCCAACATATCCCACAAGTGGATTAAAGAACAGAGTAATTTTGCATGTCGAGGCATCCATACCAGCCAACATTAATCAATATTCTTTAGATATCACTGATCTCTATAGGAACGCCACGCTTACACACTGATAGAATACACCTGGTATGATTAATTTAATTTATCTTTTATTTTAGCCAGTGCTGCTACTAGTGCACAAAGCACCGTCTCTTTACTAGAGCGCATCTTCCTTTAAAGAACAGGTGAGCTTGACCTTGATATGCTATGTCACATCTTCAAGTCTGTATTAGAGTTTATACACAAACATCCAAACAAATGTTTTTATACAGACTGTATTTGCATGACACAGTTCTAACTAATTTGTAATTCTTATCTCATATTTATGCAGTATGTGTGGGAGAAGGATTTCACTCTTGATTTTGATTTCACTTCTGATTTTCTTCTCAATTAACATGCACTGGAAGAGTTTGTGAAGTTAAATAATGATACTGGTTCACAGTTTATGAAAAATTTGCAGGGACTTGGAAAAATCATGTTATATAATCCATCTGGTTTTGGTTTTCCTCCTTAAATTTGTGTCTTGGAAGCCTTAGATTGTCTCCTAAACTAACATGAAAATGATAACAAAAATTGCATGCTTATATTTTAAAAAGTGAAATTTTCAGTCCTTGAATGTATGTTTATTCCCAAGATTGGAATGCAGTGGGAACACAGAGACTTTTATAGATGGAATATGTGCACTCTGCTCTCTATGTGCTGAAGTGTTACAAAATTCAGGAAGAAGATCAGCTTTTTGCATTGCCTTCTCATGCTGCTGAGCAGGCAATGAGCTGTGTAAATCCCTCTCCATCATGATGAAATTATATCTTGGAAAGCTTTCTGCATAGAACTGCAGAAACACTTGAAATAATGCTTTGAAAATACCATATGAAAAAAAATTAGCAACAAGCTTAGATTTTTTAATGCAGAAATTAAACAGACCTTGAACATCAGTAATATATTGAGCAAGGTTCAGCTTTTATATTCAACTGGCTTCTGTTCACCTTTATCCACCACTTCTTTCCCCTTATCACACTCAAACACGATAGATATGTGGACATAGCTACACACCACACTGTCTACTTTGACTTCAAAACATTTTAGAAGAAAATCTGCAACGTTACCAAGTGAGACATACCTGCATTGGCCGCCTGTACTTTCTGCATGCCGTGACATGGGCAATAACACTTGCATGAGTCTCTTTGCTGACGTTAATTCCATTCACTTTGAATATGCATTGGCCAGGGTGGAGACCTGCAGCAGCTGCCACCGTTCCTATTAAAAAAACAACATAGTCAACAGACTTCTTTTCCTAAACATCTCCTTTAAAGCTTACAGTCCAAAAGCCTCATTTTTAAATCAGAATCTGTTCTCGCCAATTCTTACATATTTCTCCCGTCCACAGGGTGCTTTTGCAGTCAGCTGGACTCCAAGAAAATGGAGTTCCCCAGCAGATGATTCCATAAAAAGAGAACAGACTATTTTCTATGGTTATTTTATAAAACAAATGTTGACTGGAAATATTAAAATGTTGAAAATTTGTCTTACAAAGGATTTTTAAAGGATAAAAATGTTCTAGCTTGAAACTCACAAATTATAACTTAGAACACTTTTATTCTGAATTCTTTTATATTCCTCAGAGTTAGGAACTTTTAGACTACTGGTGCCTCTATTCCACATACAAAACAGAAGTTTTCTGAAAATTCATAAAGAGATATCAGAGCATACTAGAGTTTCTTGTTAAACATTAAGTGAAATACTCAAATCAAAAGACCTTTCCAAGGATCTAGTTCTTATTTAAAATTTTTTATCAATTCATTTACCAACTCAACAGGGTGCCTTACAGCTTTAATCAAACACCCAATGATAATCAAGTAGGAGATCTCAGAAATTTGAATTATTCTGGCGAGAAAGAAACCTCAAAACATCATACTCTTTGAGCAACAGAAAACACATAATTCAGTGCTTCACTTTCACAATGGCATAACCACTTTGAGAAAACCTTCTATCCGCTGCTAGGTACTACAGAAATAGCAACTCTCTCTAGGTCTTTTCGGTGTGACTCTGGCTTACTCCTGGAAGACAGCCTGCTGGACTATGACCTGAGTTCCTGCTACCTGAATGTTCGTCTCCTCATGTCTCTCTTGATAGTGCCACAAAGGTGCCAGGGAAGTTAAAACCTACTGCCTAGAGGCTGCAAGGCTGAGGTGAAAAGACTAAAGAGGAAGAAATGGCTAAACTGAATTTGCAGGGCTAACAAATAAAAAAGCCACATCGTGACTTGTCAACTAAGCATATTCGACAAGGAAATATCTGAAAGAATATACCTGGATTTCCCTCATTTTAGGTATTATCAGGGTTGGGGTTTGTTGAAAACAAATAAAATCTGCAGCAACAATAGATGAGAGCTGCATTTTAAATTTAATACCAAAGAAAGTCTTTGGAAATTACACCATCAGCAGCTATTTCAATAAATGGGAGCATGGGGAAAGGGTTTAAAAATAAATATTTAAACAGGTATTATTAAGTATCTCTTTAAAAAAAAAATCTCCCTTCAAAAAAACACAAGGTCCCAATTCCACAAAGTATTTAAGCATATGCTTAAAATCTTTCAGGTTTAGCAAACCATACACACAAACACTTACATACTATTGAGGCTAACTGGAATAAAATATGTGCTTAATGAATAAGGATAGGCTGGTGAATTGAGATCCAGGTGCAGAAATAATTATCACATCAGCTCAACAGTCTGTAGTTTATTAGACTTTCTCTTGAAAATCTAATTTTTGGCACCACAGCCTAGAAAAAAAAAGTCTTTTCAAATCTAGCTGCTTTGCAGATCACTTCATTTTAAATTCCTCAATGACAAATGAAGAAGGTGGGGAAAAGGACACAACTGCCCCATAGTAACAGAAAATACAGTGCTAGTTGGCTCCATCATTAAAAACATGCAACAGCAACAAAGAATGCTTCAACTTTTTTTATTGCCGGTGCACCAGTCAAGAACACACTGAGTTAGGGATGGCAAGCATTTGACATTCACATCACAAAACGGACAAAACAATATTTACAGGAAACATCTGCAATTTCTAATACAGACTAGATCACCCTTGAAAAGTTTAGTTAAAGTGCATTTTCTGCAAAATGTTTTCAGAACTCTGCAGCATGGCCACCCAACAAATTAACACTCAGGAAATGAGTGGTTCCCAACACCCATTCACTAGAGAAGGTGATTTTGCATCCATCAGCTATTCCTCAGTCCATAAAGAATGCACTGTCTTAACTTAACTCTCCTATATTCATGAATATACTTAAAAAAAAAAAAGCTGGAAAATCTATCCAAAGCTTACAAAGTACAAGAACACAAAATAATCTTACTTTGTTTAATATTGTTTGTTACTTTGGGGAGGTGGGAAATCTAAGCTGTGTCACTGGACTTAATTTTGATTTATCTCAGCCAGGCTGTTTAGATATTAAATGGATTAATTACCACTGCCGTTGACAGCTCCTACAGCTTACCTCGCCCAACAGCATGGACCACTGATGGGCCAAAGCCCCGGATTTGGAATCCAAGTCCATCTGCAGAATCAGGAATCTTCACTGTCCTGATAGACGCAAACATTCAATATGAATATAGCAAACTTTTGCTGCAGTTTTTTCTGAGCAGCTATGCAAAGCACTGAGTTTTGTTAAGCAAAAATTGCCTATTATTCATACAACTATGCACATTGTGCTACGCCTAAGTGCAACTGTAATAAACCTACTGACAAACATAAGTAACAAAAACATGGTTCTGAGAATCAAAATTCATATCTAGTCCTTAAAATAAAGCTCTGAGGTCACCCAAAGTAAGATAGCATACCCACATGATATCAACTTAGGTTCCAGAAAAAGCAGCACAGCTGCATTAGTCTTTATCAGAGCTAGTTAGGTCACACATAACAGTGCGCTGATTAACTTTGCAGCTTTTACTTCTAGTGCCAGCTCCATTATTATTTAAGGGATCTTTGTCCTAAGCTCCATTTGCCAGTGCAAAAGAAAATTCAAATTGAGGCCGAAAAGTTATTTTAAAATACATGTAAACTGTAATAAACTTGATTTACAGGTAGTTTTGAATAATATTGCACCATTTCTTGCACTTTCTGGTATAAATAATGTTTAGCATTTGGACATTATTATCAGCAAAAGTGAGATGCAAAACCCACTGAAGTCTACAAACTTTTTGAAAATATTCAAATATTCTTGAAATTAATAAATTTCTATTTGAAATAATTTCAAAAGTATAGCATCATTTAGTATACTTATATATTAACTAAGGTTGATACAATCTATATGGTTTCATTCTGAAAATGCTTTATGAACATGCTAATGAGCTATGAAGGATGATGACAGGCAGTTTAGGCTAAGAATTTAGGAGAGAACTGCCTCTTCTGCCAACACAGCTGTGCTAGCAGCAGCTCCCAACAAAAAGCAGGCAGTACTGAGAAACAAATTCCTCAGCCACTCTGAACTCCTCATTCTCTAGATTATCTATGACAATTTACCCACATTTTCACTGGTAAATTGTGTCAGAAATTAAACCAAGATCTACATTAAAGAAAGGCCAAGATATGTCTTTTCTGCCATATTTCTTTCTTTGCTCTTTCTTCCTTTCTGGGTGCCATTGTATTTTTCAAGACACTTTTGCGTATTAACAGGAGAAATACATCTCCATTCTACTGCTGAACGAGAGCCACTTCCAAGGCGCTCTGTGTGTGCTGTCTGGTAACAGAGGATGGTTCCTCCTCACCCTGCAAAACTTAATCAAAATTACTCCTGACCATTCTTTCTTACTCTCCTCTTTATTTGGTATGTATAAACCAGTACGAACTGCATTAACTTTATTAATAGACCTATGCTCATTTACATACTTACTGAACCCAGCCATTAGGCTTCACTTTGTATCTCTTTTACATAACAAAAATTGCATTCACGTAGAAATGGTCAAAAGTGCATATAGAAATGGATCTGTTAAATAAAGATTGCTCCTGCTGTTTACACAACCAGCACACACAGTGAAGAGGCCCACTAGATCACAGAGTCCGATTTCTGCCAAAACAGCAACTAATTCCCAGACAGAGGAATTTGTTTAACAAACACAGTGAGAGAGAAGTGATCAAAACTGTCTATACAGATAAATAAACTTCATTTACACTTGTGGTTCCTGCCTGTATCTGAAGTGGCAGAGCTGACGATCTAAAGCACTTGTGTTTTGCTTTTGCTGACTGATAAATGTAATAAAACAAAATCAAAGCAGATCAAATTGCTTGACTCCACAAAGTTAGATTAGAATCACAGAATGGTTTGGGTTGGAAGGGACCTTTAAAGGTCATCTACTCCAACCCCTCCAGTGATGAGCAGGGACACCTTCAACTAGATCAGGTTGCTCAGAGCGCTGTCCAACCTGACCTTGAATGTTACAAGGGATGGGGCACCTACCATCTAGATTGCCATCTAGGCAACCTGTTCCAGTGTTTCACCACCCTCATAGTAAAATAAATTCTTCCTTATATCTAATTTAAATCTACCTTATTTTAGTTTAAAACCATTTCCCCTTGTCCTGTTGCTTCAGGCCCCACTAAAACGTCTGTCCTTATTTTTCTTAGAAGCACCCTTTGAGTTTTGAAAGGCTGCAATAAGGTCTCCCTGGAGGCTTCCGTTGTCCAGGCTAATCAACTCCAAATCAGCCTTTCCTCAAAGGGGAGGTGCTCCATCCCTCTGATCATTTTTGTGGCCCTCCTCTGGACCCACTCCAACAGGCCCATGTCTTTCCTGTGCTAAGGACTCCAGAGCTGGACACAGTACTGCAGGCAGGGTTGCACCAGAGCAGAGCAAAGGGGCAGAATCACCTCCCTCAACCTGCTGGCCACACATTAGATACAGCATTTTAAATAACTTTACAGTAGCGCTGCCTGAAGTTGCACCAGTCTTTCAAAATTCACTTCAATTTAGTTTGTGAAAATTTCCCCAAAGGAATGACAACTTACTCCCGTGGTTTAGTGCTCACAAGAACCCGCAGGGGCTTTCTGCTGTTTAAACATGCTTTCAGAAAGCAATCCACTTCACTGAAGGGTCGCAGGAAAACGAGGTCACCATTAATAGCAAAGATTTTTTTCCCAACTTCCAAGCCTGCCATCTAGAAAACAGTAACAGTTGTGTTATATGTTTGTCTTTTATAACCACTAACATTATGTTTTCTTCTGCCGGCACGCAACCTCAATAGGAATAATGACACATGCATTTCCCTTACATCCTTGATGCCTCCCTCACATGCCAGGCATAAAAGACTTACACCACAAAATGCTTCCAGAACTGGTTAAACTGACGTGAAAGGTACAGTAAACACTCATTCTGAAGAGACCTAAATACAAGACTTAGTCTTAATCAAGATTTTTTGACAGTATTACAACATAAGTTAATATTTGTAATAGTTAATGGCTTTCATTGAGCCAGTTGTTTAGGGTTTTTGGACATTACCTAATTTGTCCAAACCTCTCATTTTCTAACTAAAGCTTATTTTCAGAAGGCAAGACTTGATTAATATTTTAGTAAGTGAATATGTATTAAGCTTCAAAACAAAACAATATCCTTAAACATTTCATAGCTGTTAAGCCAAAGGCATGGCAAGCGAAATTGCACAGTTTTTAAATTCTGGTCTAACAAGAAACGAAGTGGTTACAATTGGATGGAAGGAGTACACAGAGCAGCTCAGGGCACAGGTTAAGCCTCAGTAACATCTGAGATCATGGCAGAACCCAACTGCTAGAAATCACCCTGGATATAGCTTTGTGGCTGTATTATATTATGGATTTGGTCTATCTATTTTTATCATAAATTTCTATTCCACCATGGCATTTAGAGAAGCTTGAAATGTAGGTATAAATATTTTCTCTCATGGAAGAGACTCATTATCTATCTTTACATGAATAGAATTCCACGCAGTTCAGCAGAATATGAATTTACCCAAAGAGCATCTAAAGCAACACTAACAAACAGAAAGGCTGGAATTTATTAGTTCAGATTCTCAAATTCTAGACTTTATCCAAAGCTTGATACATCCTCTATTATGAAATGTATGAAGTGCAACTCACAGACTAGCTTTTTATTCATTTCATGTTCTACTAAAATGTTTATTTCACTCATTATTAATATCACTGGAATATCACAAAATGTATAAAAATAAAATTATAACTTTTCTATCACCACTCAACATGTCAAATTAACTGAGCAGAAGATGAGTGCTGATAATGGTCAGCGATATTTTAAACAAAAAAACAAAATCGAAGAAAAATAAAGATTCATAACTACAGCTTTCTAGAGAAAGTTGTCATTATTCCCTTCTACTACTATAGATTTTCCTAACTGATATAAAAAACATACACCTGTGATCAAGTAAATAGAACACGGGAAATAATTTACAATACTTGATACCTCAGCATTTGATCCTTTCTCCACCACTTTAATAATTGGCACCTTATTTTTATCTTCTAAACCAAAACCATAGGTGCCTTCATCAGATTTAATCTGAAAAATAAAATTGTTCAAAATATTGTTCAGAAAGGCATTAAGAAGAGCTAAAGCATATCCCCATCAAATAACAATACAGTGTTAGTATATCGTCACTACAACCTATTTTTTTACTCATCAAAGCATACAATCATTGGGTTTCACTCACCAGTAGTGACTTGGCTATGACATTTTCCACCACTTTCAGATCATGTTTCATGAGTCTGTGCTTCATATTTGACCCTTCCATTTCTTCATCAGCATAAAAACGAAACAGCAGTGGTTCATCTTTAAATTCACTTTTCTCTAACACTGTATGATACAAAGTCACACATAGTAATCCTTTTTTTTCATTTGAACTTTTGAATATCAAATCCTTAATGAACTATAAAATATTGAGCATGCTACATTAAATGCTAGCAAACTATTTTTGTTTGTGAACCTAGGGAAATCTTAATTTTTAACATAAACAATTATTTTAATTTGGATCCATTACAGATGGGTATCACCAAGATCACTTTCAGCTACAACATCTGGATTCCACCAAGCTGAGGAAGATGCATTAGCCAGAAATGGTTTTAGTTCAAATGTCAAGCACATGCTATCTCCTAAAAAGGATCTGAAAACAATTTCTTGAAAAGTTCTGCTGGGCAGCCGCTGGAGATGTTCACCACCAAGTGCTGGCACTCTCCAGGTGGTGAAGTATGCCAGGTTTAGCACTAGAAATGGGTTTGGTAAGGATGTGGAAGCAACTAGAACAGCAGACAGATGCCGTTTTAAACATACAAAGAAAGGAAAAAGAACAAACAGTGCAAGAGAGGAAGTTAACTCTCCCTTCTTCTCCACACAAGCTGATGATAAAATAATTTCTTCCCTTTTTATTTCAGTAAATAATCCACTGCTTCTATACTTTCACTGAAATCTTTCCTCTGATGGAATTAAATATGACCTTGTTCACCTCATTTTTGGCACTGCACGTATCTCTGCCTTCCTCCCTCTTCCTTCTTTGTTCCCTGCTGTCTCTGTGATTTTCTCATTTTTCTACAGTCTACTTTCTCCTACTGTCACTCCTTCACATTTTTAAAATCATTCTTCTTCATACTTTATTGCTTCCCCCCAAAATGTCCTTTCCTACATACTTCCTCAGTTTTTATTGTCTCATCTGCGTAAACATGTATTACTTGCTTAAGAAATTTCTAAATTGTGTCTAATAAAACTTCTCCCCTCCCTAAATCCTTCAGAGGATGAAGCCCTCAGCACATGCTATAAAACTGACTGAAAATAATTTTCTGACTATTCAATAGCTATTTTTTTCTTGAAGACTGTAGCGTAGGTCTCTTCAGCAACACAATGAAATAAATTCCTATATCTTCTGGAGTACCTTTACCAGCCCCTGCATTTCCTTTCTACTATGTAGATAGCATTAAACAAAAGGTAAGCATAGCTTCAATAGAATGCATTCACTTACCATGGTGCATAAACCCATTATCACAAAGGGCTACACCGAATATCATCGCTTCTTCCCTTGTTCGACAATCCCCCTGTTGAACCATGGCATATTTTTTTAAATACATTTTAATATGGCAGCAAAACGGATCCTATGCACAACAGTGCAACCTCACAGGGCTAGCAATGGTTGTAGGTTATATTTACAGCTGACACCTTTAAATATAGACTTACAGCATACAATAAAAAGCAGTATATCCATGCATGTATTATATACTTCTTTATAGTTACAAATAAATATGTAAACATTTTAGTAACACTGCATTGTCCATAAAAATTTAACATAATACAATCTAAAAGTATCAGTTTTAAACTTTTGTTTTATAAAACTGGTGCATGTTCACTGACTGAAGAGAATATCCTGTTCTTGTTCCTAATTCATTTAATTCATTTTAATTTTATTTGTTTTAAAACAAAACTGATGACAGCAAATTGGTACTGACTTCTATCTATCTAGTCAGTAATTTAGAGTTTTCAGAGCCTATCCATTTCATTTTAAGCCACGAACAATGTTAGATGCTGAATCACAAAGCTAAGTTTCACTAAAACATTTAAAGTTCAATTACAAATAAAGAAGATAAGCACAAAAGGGATAAATACCATGGCTGCTGATGGTTGATTTCTGTTACTTTGTTAGTTTAAGAGGATTACACTTACATACACTGTTCTAATAACCCTTATGCAAAGACTTTGCATGTTATTCTGCGTAATACATCACTACCTTTCAAACCAGGATTTAAATGCAAAGAGTACATAAATCCAAAGGTGGATACTTGCCTGTGCAATCAACCAGTCTATGAGTTTGTTAGCCATGACTACAGATTTGTAGGTTCTCAAGTGATAATCTTTATCCCTGTTCAAAGCAAGACAAAACAAAATCTAAAATCAAACAAAAACTCTAAAGAGCCTAACAGAAAAAAAACCAAAAAAAATTTATTTTATAAACAGGTTACTACAAGCAAGAATTGAGTGTTTTGTACTGGTTCAGAAGGTCCCTCTGGAGTAAAGCAAGTCAAACCTTTCAGTGTAGACAGAAAGGAGGAGGCTGATAGTATCTTACTTGGGCAATAATGTCACTGGATCATAAAAGGCAGTTGTCTGTTACAGTGGGGGCTCTCCAAATGAGGTAATAGAGTGTCAGTAAAGTAAGTAAAATAAGCATCTAAGCATATCCATCAGGATCTAGAAGTTTCTAAAAAGTCTGTAGAAAAGGTCATATTTAACAGAGTTTGCAGTCTTTTAATTATTCAGTTATGCTTTTTGTCTTGATAGCCCTTCAGTTCTGCTTGATTACTCCCAAGAGACCAATCTTGAAATGGTGGGTTAGGTTCCTATGTTCAAACACAGTATCTTCAGATTATATACTTGTTCCGAATGACTCTCTACAGTTTTCCCAATTGGACTCACCTAATTACTGGGGTAAACAGACTGTGAAGGCGACAGTACAGTCGTACACCCTGTTAAAGAGACACATGAAGTTAGTTAACCACACATTCACATCACAGAGAACATAAGAGGAAAGGAAATCTGTATGTTCTAAATGCACTTCATTTAGCTAGTAAAAAAGTCTGTTCAAATTTCTATATATTTTCATGTGCCAAAACTTAAAATTTCCAGATAAAAATATTGATGAATAAATTATAAGAAATAAACATTAAAATAAAACATTTCTAATTTAATCTAAGCTTCATTGAGACACATTCAAAAAGGATTAGCTTTAAGGGAGCATGAAAAAATTCTAAAGCAGAGTAGTTTGAAAGAAAAGTACACCAAACCTGAAAGATAAAACAATGTTTCCATGCACTGTTTTCCCTATCACTGCTTGCTATTCTACACACAGAGTAATTAAAGTAAAAACCACCACATTTTATTGTATGCATAGGTATCTTATTTACAAATTGAAATCATAACTAACCAGTAAACTTAAAAAATATGCAAAAAGATTCAAAGATTTGAAATGTTTCCAATTAAAAACAATAAAACATTTGGAACATCAGAAAATGTTATTTTAAAAAAAGAAGTCCCATTAGTATTCCTGGGCAGACTATATAATAAAAAAAAGATTATAACATGTTAGAAGAACCATGTATAACAATTAAAATTTGTGTCAAATCAGACTCCAACCTACTTTTCAGTGACTGCTAGTTCGGTACTGAAGATTCTTCTAGAAATTCATTACATCAACAAATCTCAGACACTAATGTAATACCCAAATGCTGACGATTTTCTACTGCTACAAAATCATGAAATTTTGAATATTAAGGAGTTTAAAGGTAACTTTGCTCAAACATTTTGTTATTCTCAGTAGTGTAGATGGATAGCACTACATATCTGTGTTTAAACCCCTACATGAGTGCAGACTTACTGCCTTGCTAAGGCACTAATAAAAGACACTCAGATTTAAGAAAAAATTAAAAGCCATTTTCAACGTATAGCTTCATAGCTACTAAAATGGACTGAAAAATACAATAGACCGAAACATTACCTTCAGAATCACCCAGAACACAGGCCCATGCATCTGCATATGAAACCATTAAATAACAAAAAAAAACAAACTTCAATCTTGTTTTTAAAACGTGTAACAACAAGCCAAAATCTTCCCTTACAAACAAAACTGAATTTGATTCACATAAATACAGAGACAGGCAAGTGTGAGGGGATATTCTTTATCTTATAACATTTTTACATTATTTTTCAAGCAGAATCTCCATTTCTGATGCATTCTTCTTAATAACAGCAACAGGCCTATTCTGTACCTTAGAGATCACATCTTGCATCTCATTTCTGGGGTAGTACGTTCCATCATCGTATCGGAATCTGTACAGCATGTGTTCGGGTTTAAATTGGTGCTTATCTGTAACTACATTTAAAAAAAAAGTACGTATTGTTAGGTGACTTTCTGAAGAAAACAACGAGAAAAGGGCTAACGTAATTTCTTCCACTTACAGCCTATTACATAGCAATAGATAGATTTCAGGGAGGGAGGGCAGAAAGCCCAATTAGATCATCTGCCCTAAGTTCCTTTATGTGACAGTATTTCTCACAATGTTTAAGCAGTCCACAAAAAAGCACAGTTTCAAGTCACAGTGTAAAGAATGAGAAAGACACTCGGGCAGGGAACAGCCTGAAAAATTAGGCATCCAAATCTGTTCTAGTCTTCAGGACTTTTGCAAAGTTCATTGACCAAATAAAGCTTATTTTGCAACTATCGTTGTTCCACATTATTGTCTGTCCTAATTATTGCTGGCCAATGCCAGATGAGTAGATAAAGATACAAACCCCCTACAACATATCTGACCAGTCTTGCACTGGGAAGGAAAGGGAGAGGGAGCATCTTCCCCTATACATAGACAGCTGAAGTTCTGAAGTGCAAGAGACTTGCAATCATTATGAGGGTGTTGATAATCCATTTCCCCAAAGACTTGTGAAGAAAGATCTTAAAAAGTGATCCTCATGTGATTCCAGCAACAAACTTCACAACTTCAAGTGTTTCACCAAAACATACGTGTCATACCATATGATACAAAACTTCTCCGGCAAACGGTGCTACAGCAAGTTTTTCTGAAAAACAGCTGATTCATCTGATGGCCGAGGACAGCACTAGGCACTAGCACCGTCCTAGGATACCTGTCTGGTATTAATTACTCTTTGGCACAGATGTAAGCTTTAATTTTGAAACTAAATTTGCATGTCATCAACTGATAAAGAAGGCTAGTGTAATGTCTTCATTAATCAGAGTAACAGACCTGACAGTGTTAGGTAATTTTTCTGTGCGTGCCTTCCTGTAACAAGTCATTAAACTATCATTCCTTATTCTCTTCAAAAAAATTTAGTTAGGCACCATAAACTTTGTATAGTAAAAGCAGACAGTGCCTTCTGTCTGCATCATTTTTCAAGCGCCTTCAAGTGCTTCAGTACCTTCAGACATCATCTGACACATGGACATAAAACCTGGACTTCATATATTAAGTGGTTTCATTAGTGTCATGTGCAAGAGCCAAATAACTTCTCTACCTGTATTTGATATATCTACTAATAGCAAGGTCCAGGACACTATTCCAATTGCCTTGAACTGATGCTTCACGCTAAGGTGATCATCCACAATAACCCCTAAGCTTCTTTACGTACTACAGAATTTTAACATACAATGCCTAGTATAAGAATCTAAATGAATTTTCACGCATTGTGACCATTTAACTCAGGAAAAAAGATAATTTCTGGTTCTGTAATTAAAAATCATTTCCTATTGTTGAAGAAAAAAAAAATATTCCACTAGATCAAGATACATTAAGAGTTTTTAAAACCAGCATCCACAGAAAATAGAACCACCACCATCAGGACAGTATTGCTTAAGGCCAAATTGTTCCTCACTGTTACAGAGCTGCACAGGGAGGGAATCAGGACTACAAAGCACCTTTCCAACCTTGCACGCCCATGATGAAGAGAGCAGGCTATGCCCTTCAAGGAACACCAGCACTGCTCAGTCTTCACAGCCTTTACTTACACACAGTGCACCAGAAACTAAGGGAGCAGGTCCGAAGAGCTGCAACATCCTGAGCTATGGAAAGCAAGGAAACAAAACCAGGATGCTTCTGACTACGTTATCGTCTGAAATACCATATACATCCAGTGAATGCTGTGCGGGAAACTGTAAATCCCTATTAATTTTTTGTGGGTTTTGTTTTCTATGTTATAGATGTGATTTGGCTTGTTCTAGTCAAGAGGAAGCATGCGTGATCTGTCAGCTACTGTACTAACATGGAAACCATAATAAAAATATGAAAACATTTAGCTTACTGTATAGCTTTCCTTTTAACTAGTATCAGCTATACATTTGCAAGGCTATGGTATCAAACACTTAAAGCTGATAAAACACATCATTACCACTAAAGAATACATCATTATACCATTGGCTGATATAATTATGAGTCATTTCAAGTATCAGAGAATGCCACCAGGAGGATTTAGAATAGCAACACACAAACAGATTTTTTTTCTGTTGCAAATCTGGAGGGAAAGGAAAAAAAAAAAACAACAGGGAAAACCCATAACTTTTCTACTTTCAAGAGGGACACACCATGGAGTAAAACAATACTCATCACAACATGGGGCGGGCATCACTAGAATGAAGCCCAGCCCAGGGAAAACAATGGCCAGCACAGTGAATGCGCAAAGTCTAACAATGCCCTCTATAGCATTTGCAATGTGAGTAACAGCCAAACTTTCTTTCTCCCTTGCTCCCTCTGTGAAAACAGATGGTTCATTCAACTTTATTTTAAGAATTCTATTTTCACTGAACCACAGCTGGATCCGCTATTCAGAGTAGCATGTCTGGCGCACATTTCTATGCTCTAATATAATTACCCTTTTATCCCATGAAATTACACAATATTCATTTAACTCTGCATTGAGAAAGTCTATGAGTGTATTTGGGATATAAATTACAAGATCAGGAGAAGAATCTTTGGCAACAGAATCATTCCATTGAAAACAATTCTGTGTGTGTAGTAAACACAATAGCATCTGACATTTGAATGATGGTGGAGGAAAATCATGTAGACTGACATTAAAGAATTAAAGACTACATGACTACTGATGAATAACCTTATAGTTTTTCCTCCTACTCTGCGTATGCTTAAAATGCACACAGCTAAGTGTCATTCTCTTACTCCCGCTTTCTTTCCAGTCAAGGACACCAAAAACACGGTGGCAAAGAACTTATAAAGTATTAAATTCATTGCTGGCTGATGTACAGAAGTATTCACACATATATTATCAATGACTCTATCTAAATTTACACCCTGGATCTATGCGGCAACAGTAGCTAACTTCACAACTGTTTCACTATTTGTTTTTTTAAGTGATTGTACCTATTGTAAGACAAACATGCCTTCAAACACAGAATTTTCTCCAGTTCACTTATATGATCCTGTTGGAGTATATCTTGTAAAACAGAGAGAGATGAGGACCTGCTCTAGTAAAAGAAAACTACCTCCAGAAATCAAACCTTCTTATTGGCTCAAAACCTAAACTATTTCAGTGATACTTCTCTCCAGAATGAGCTCAATGCAGATAGCTGACTGAAAGCTTCAGCATAAAAATATAGTACCTATACAATGTAGTGAAAATAAGGCCTTAAAATTCAAATGTTTAAACTGCTGCGTTTTAGGTTGGGTTCCACCAGCTCCACTTGTAACACCAAACAGATGAGTCGGCACATTTATCAACAGTCAACTGTGACTCTCTTCTACAACTCTTGGTTGAACATGTATCCCTAAAAAGCCTGGCCTTAATAAAAGATTTAGATCCTTAAAAGCAGTCTACCATCCTCTGTTCCCTGAGAATTTAGTTTTGTTTACAAGAGAACAGCAAAGTTTCTCTAGGTCCCTGTTTGCAATGCTGTGATCCCAACAGCACAGTTGTAATCTGACTAAATCAATGGAGCCTCTCCCAGTAAATCTGCTAGGCATGGGCCATAGCCCCATAATGTCCCTGCAAGGATATAATGCATATTCAACAAGCTGTCTTGCATTGACAAGACCATTTTTTTGTCAAACAAAATAAAATCCAATCTAATTACAATTACCTTGAAAAGAAATAAGTTAAAATTAATTATATTTACCATGATGTATAATGCCATTCTCTAATAAAGCTTGGCCAAGATGAACACCTTCTTCAGATTTGTGTATCTCTCCGACTTCCAACAACCAAGACACAAATTCACTGAATTAAAAACAGATACAAAAAATTATCTTTAAATGTGATACCACCACATCTACTAAGTTTCCCTCTCAGTTACGAGTGTTTCTTACTAGCCTAGTAAGTGATTCTTAATGACCTTCAGAATGCCATATCACCTTTAAAAAACCACTCCTTTTAACTCTACCTGACATACAGGCAAAAGGATGGAAACAGTTTTAGAGACAGATTTTTTAAGCAGAATAAAACAAATTTGATACTCCGAAGTAGACATTTCAGAGACAAAACGTATTAAACGAGTTGGGAATTACTTCTTTAAAGAAACTATTTCATTTAATGCATTTTCATGTTTTCAACATGCTTTTGCAGCCCTGTCCCTTTAAAAAGCTACTCTGGAATATGAGTATGCACCCATGAATTTCAGGCCAATCAGTTTCCATTTTGGCTAAATTCTGGGAGGCAAATAGGCCTAAGAGACATTAAAAATACAGTGTGGTTTCCACAGAATTCCAAAGAAGATTTAAAATGTTTTTTTAGCTGGTTAAAATTCATGTTATAAAGCACATATAATACCTTCCAAGAAAGCATTTGGGGAAAGTGGTTAATTTCCTCTTCCTGTCTTTGATGAGATTCCCCTGTTTGCACATCATTTTGTACAATCTTTCTCCTTGCTCAGAGATCATCACCCAAGTGTCCTGTTCCATGCCCAATTTTAAACCTGCCAAAAAAAGCATTAAAATTTTATGAAGTGACATTGCTATTACATTTCAATATCTTCCCCAAAATGGAGAAGCAATACCAATAGTTTACATGCAAAACTAGCAAATGAACTGTTTTCTATTAGTTTACTCAGACTCAAGATTCATCTGTGAATATCTAATATTCATAAAGCATAATTAAATTCTATCTATAATTTCCTCAAAGTGAAGTTAAATTGTTACTGATAATGTACACCCACATCAATATCATACTGTAGTAATGAATACTAATGCAGTGATTTTCAGACTTTAGTATATGAACATTTGGAAAGGAACAGTCATGTATTCATAAGTTTAAAAGAAAAGGGCCTTGGTTTTGCTCTCACAATGTGATAATAAAAACGTTTGCACTTAAAAGAAACTTTTTCAAATCTCCAATTAACAGTAACTAGTTATCTGTTATACATTTGATAGTTTCACTTAAGATTAATTCACACCTTTTCTACTAAAGCATATACACAACTTGGTTTTTATTTGCTTCAGATTTTTTCCAGCAACAGAAAGCTATCAAGGGTTTTATTTCAACATTTCTTAATGGGTTATTTTTTCCTGTTTCTCTTCTTGAGAAAAACATTATGTTTTCCAAGTAACAGGTGATCAAAACCAGTTTCTGTTGAATTGTACAGCCTACTGGCCACTCACAGAACCTCGTGCTTCCAAGCCCAGACCTTCATATCCCATGTGTTTTCTCAGTAAACAATTATTAATTCTAGAGAAAACCACACATTTCTGGGATATCTTATGCAAACACTCTGTTTCTGTTCACATTTTCACATTTTAAAAACTGCAATTGTACGTATTCAACCTGAGTAACAGTATACCACTTCTTTTAATTCTGATAAAACAGCCAGAAAAAATGAATCAGGACATCACAGCATCATGAGCCTTAAAAGACAATCCTCTTTTAATTAAATTTCTAACTCGCTGAATGCCTCAGGTGGTCACATGAAAGCCACAAAACTGACAGAAAGACTTAATAGCAAAAAGTGTCCAATTCAGCTTGATTTCTCCTAGCAAGAAAATACAATCTATGAAGTGGTCCTAGTTGATAATTCAATTATGACCACTGAGGCCTCTGCTAAGGTACTTCATTCAGGGCATTCTCTTCCTTTTGTTCAGCTTCTGCTGTATGGACGCCAAATAACAGTATAGGTTGAGTTTCCTTAAGTACCTTGAATCTCTGAGTGTTCCAACATGAACAGCCCAGCAAGGCCCATCTACATGGCACACTCAAGCTGTATTTCCGTGCCTTACCCCTGCTCCATGTGCTGTATTTATCGACTCTGGAGATCACTGCAATCTGCCATTCAGTGTGAGATGCGGGTACTACAGCATCACTGCAAAGAAATGCGCAGGCACACACAGCACAGCCAGGAGAGAGTTGCTCTCATGAGCCTCCAAGCCCAAGAGATCTGGGAAGTGTGTTCATCGGATTTAGCTTGTCTCAGAATTGCACAAGAGACAAAACACTGTTCTCACATGTGCAGTCACTTAGACTTCATTGTAATTGCCTATATATGAACAGGCTCCGTGTCTTCTTAAGTAAACATACAATTAAAGCATCTTTATGTACACAGTGAATGGGAAAGTGTTACAGCTACATTTAGACACGGTATTTGAATTCTAAAAAGATAGCTGTTTGGTTCCCGAGTCATTTGGCAACTTGACTGCAATTAAGCTGATGCATCCTGCATTGCAAGAGGTGTTTATACAGATATTAAAAAAAAAAATCATTTTGCTGGAGGAGATGGATAAATTTATAAGTTGATAGAGTAACGGAGATAGTCAATAAATACTTTTGAAGATTCTGTGTTGCAAACTGAATATAAGTATGTACTAAATCCTCTTCTCTTTCCTTCATAGTTGTCTCCTTGGTGCCAAACCCACTTGAGGACACCAGGAGCTGAAAATTTCCCCAAACCATAGGATGCTAAAAGCCTTAGACATGGCTTGACTTTGGGATGGTTACCTCAGACCTCATGCTTGGCAAGGTTTAGCTCAAGCTCATCTTTACTACCAGCTGCACAATGGTATAGTGTGAAATAGTAAGAATACATCAACATAAAATATTTCTACCTACTGTCTCTATTTCTTACCTAAAGGTATAGAGTCTAAGGGAGCCAAGAAACTTCACAGTGAAGTGGGATTTGTTAAAAGCCTTTTTAGCCAGCTCCAGACAAGGCCCTCTACAGAAGCAGACAAACCTGTTTTTTGTTGTATTTGACACCATCTCTACTACATTGCTCTTTCATTTGTTATCTTTTAAATGTTGAGGTTTTAGACCTCTGAGGTATCTTTTTAGTTTTTCTACTATTAATTCCTGATGGCATTATTAATTAGCCAGTGCTCAGACACTAGTATTCAACTTTAAAAGACCAAAGAACGTACTGTTAGTCTTCATTTACAACAGAGGCACAAAACAAAAGCTACTGCAAAAGGCAAGAGAAAATCTACACAGACCAGGCAAAGAATCCTAGATCTAACTACAAGGTCATATTTTATTTCAATACCAAGGCTCCAAACATCATTACTGATTAGGATATTTCAGCTTGCAAATGAAATTAGCTCCAGACGACAATGATGCATCATCTTTCCCTGGTTCTACTTTGTGCTGGGTTCACCTTGAATACATGAGGTTACTCATGGTCACATTTGAGATCAGGATTTTATTTAATCCAATTATTCTTCCATCTTAATTCAGCTATTCAAAAAACATAGCTGTTTGCCAATGTTCTCATATATTCTTGGGTAAGGGAGAATACATCAAAGATGGGGTTGTAGCTAAATTCTGTACCATTTCATGTTGGGATCATCTGCATGAAGACTCAACACAGAAGACCTGCTCATTTCGGTGATTCAAATATCCATTCACAAAAGGGAATCAATACATGCAAAACCCAAAGAAATTTAGGACAGACCCTCATATATCACAATCCGTAATTGTTTACAGGCCTCGATGGAATTATGACAATTTATACTGGTTGAGGATAAGCTGTAAAATAATGGATGAAATAATCTCCTGATTCCAAAACAGCATTTGCTGCTAGCATACATGATTCAAGCCATTATGCCCTTCCCAGTGCAAGTTTGATTTTTTTTTTCTAAGCTGGTATTCATAAACCTTCAGCTGAACCTGACACCACAAGTTTGCCTTAGCAGCTGGTTTTACTTTATAACTCAACATAAAAATACAGTATGGCTTTCTAGCAAAGCAACACAAATGTGGTGGGTTGACCCTGGCTGAAGGCCAGGTACCCACCAAAGCCGCTCTATTAATGCCCATCCTCAGCTGGACAGGGGAGAGGAAACAAAACAAAGGGCTCATGGGTCGAAATAAAGGACAGGGAGAGATCACTCATCAGTTACCAGCACAGACAAAACAGATTCAACTTGGGAAAAAAAATTAATTTAATTTATTACCAATCAAACAAAATGAAAGACTAAAACTAAAAACTAGATCTTAAAATACCTTCCCCCGGCCCCTTCCTTTTCCAGGGCTTAAATTTACTCCTGAATTCTCTACTTCCTCCTCCACAAGGGCTCAATGGGACAGGGAATGAGGGTTGCTGTCAGTTCATCACACGTTGTCT